GCAGTGTTTCGTATTTATCATCTTACTGCTGTTTTGTGTTGACACGCGCTTGGTATCACAATGACAATGCCTCGGACAACTTTAACTTCACGACTTCATGATCAATGTATGAGTATGTGATTCTCTTCCCGTAGTTTATTTGTGGCGTAATTATATCTTAGTGCTAACAAAATAGATTCACTGTCTTCCCATTTGTTTTTACACCATGCCCGAGGAATCACATACAATGTTATATTTATAATGCCCCCCCCCCCCAAAAAAAAACAACAAAAAACAAACAAACAAACAAACAAACAAACAACTGGGTGGGGGTGGGCATGAGAGAATAATTTTAAATTAAGATTCACAATCATATGATAAAACTTACAATTAATAAATATATTTGTATTTCAATATATTGGGGGAGGGGGAATAAAGTGGTTAACTTTAAAAATAAATCATGGTTTAACATTACACCCCCAGCCCCCTCCCTTCCAAAAATAAGAAGAAATGCTTTACATGCACTTTGCCACATAAGCGTGGAACTTACTCAATATCTTCCCAAGGTAATAAACGAATTTTAAATAAATAGTTTTCAGTTTTAACACTAGTATAACATTAAATCTACAAGTACTGGTTAGGCCAAAAAAGTTAAAGACTCGCAAAGACCATAGTTTTGCTACTTTAAATCGCTGCGGTGTACGCAGGCCACAGACCATGATTTAGCTAGGTACACCGCCGCGGTGTACGCAGGCCAAAGTCAATAGTTTCGCTAGGTACACCGCCGCGGTGTACGTAGCGCCGGCCATATTATTATTATAAATATAAACCCTTTTAAAGACTTATAAGTCTTCAAGTAACTTACATTAATTAAAGGACTTAAGTTTACGTTTAACAGCAGCTATTTAAAGAAATTAGATACAGTTTATATAGCCTACATCTAATCTAAATCTTATTTAAATTATAATGAAGGGTACTCTTATTACTAATGAACTGAATCCCAACGCTTCTTCAAACCACAACCGATGACACGACTAACCAGCAGTTGAGTTGAGCAGTGGTAGTACTAACTAACACGTGTTTTTGTGTTTACACTTTTACTTTACATGAACTTTATGAATAAACAAACAAAAATTTGAAATAGCTTACTATATATTAACTTTGCATATCATTTTAGTTCATTTATATTTAATTAATTTAGCTAGTTGTATAAATAAAATAAAAAATTTTACGCTCTGTTACCTTGGTCCAATGCTTCGACTCAAATCAAAACATTATGTTCATGCGGAAATACAGAACTCTTTTATATTTTTGTTTATATTTTTAAAAAGCTCTTTTGAAAAGATAATTTAAATAGTGCCCCCGGATGAAATTTTATTTTAATTATTAAATAGTCAATTGCCATTTAAAAAAGAAAAAAAGGAAAAGAAAAGAAAATTAAAATGCTTAAACTTCATTCTTTGGCACAAAATTTAATTTATAATAACGCACAAAATGCGAATTTTGCCTTTTGGAGAAGCTACGCTTGAAATGAAAGGCTTCAAATTCAAGCATTTAAGAGTAAAACACTTAGACTTAACAATGACAAGCTTAAACTTAACGGAGTTATTAACAAAAGTTCGTTACCAACACAAACACTTTTTCTTTGTGAAGGGATGCAATTCATGCTCACAGTGCTATAAACTTACTTAATATAAGGCCCAAGGGGCCATCCATAAATGACGTCACGCGTCTAAAGGGGAGGGGGTGGTCGGGTGGTCATATTTTTGTGACGATGTGTGACGAGGGGAAAGGGGGGTGGGCTTAAGCAATGTGACATCACATGATATTTTAGTAAAGAATTGCCCTTAGTAATCCTATATTAAGATATTTTTAAAAAAATTGTATTCAACAATTTTAAAATTTTATTTTTAAACTACGATCACTGCGAGCATCAGTATAGTAGGCCTAAAGGTATGCGAGGTCCGAGAAATGGCCTCTGCTCAAGTTACCGGAGGAGAAGGGGGGGGG